CACAACTCGAGGATTACAAAACAGGATCTACAACAAAAAAATTAGCTATGGTCAACCATACGACCTAAGGAGAATGAGGTTAAAGTCTGGGCTGTGCAAAAAAAAACAGCACACTTCCATGAGATACCATGGTAGATAAGTGAAAATGTTTTCCAAACATACTTGTCGACGGTCAAACATTCTTATCGATAGGAAGAATAAGTATTGTCGCGGAACGGATTAGGGCTATCAATAGTAACCATAAGTTTGTATTTAGCCCCGCTAGAAGTCAGTATTATTTGCTTCAGGATTTTTAGGGTTGTGTTATTCGGTCACACTAAATCGGGTGATGACGAGCATGAAATAAGCGACTCGACTTACACCGATTTACTAGAGCTGTAAACAATACTAATTTATGAGAATTGATTCTTTTCGATTCAATTCTTGAAAAGATCGATTAAATCGATTTACAATCGAAAACGAAAAAAAAATTGTATAATGAAATAGGCACTTTTGTTAAGTAAGTTATGGAAAATACCGATTTTACAGTTGCGAACAAAAGTAAAATTCGTTAAAAAAATTGTTTTAGTTATTGTTTCTGGTTATTCATTTAAGCCCCATGGGTTTTTATTTGTCAGTATAAGTTTGTCTACGTTTTTGGTTTTCAAGAACGCTTTGCGGTTGGTGACTATGCATTCAACACGGGAAACAATCTACATTACTTATATGAAAAACGAACATAGTTATCAATCTCTCTTTTTTTTCCTCAATACCAACACACACTGATTCTGGAAGTGATTAATATTTATTAGTCTACTTCAGTTAAATTATTTTTAAATAATTTTTTCACTTACTTAATTTTTTTTAAGTGAGCAAATTTGTCGATGCATCGATTCCCTAAAAAAATAATCGATATTTTCGCTCATCCAAAAAGATCGATAAAATCGATTTGAGAATTGAATTGTTTACAGCTTTACGATTTGCGACATCACAGAGAGAGGAAAGAGAAACTGCGGTATAATAAAACACTATCTACAACACACACTCTTGTTGTCCTTGTTATCGCTAACCAAGCGGCGACTTCAACTAGTGTTCTGAAGGCATTTTCCCGTGATCGGCATTTTCCCGTGAAGCGGCGTCATGTGTTATAAGGAAAATCTAGTATTTGTTAACTTATACAATCTCGAATAGATTCCTTCGCCCTTGAAGCGCAGTCTTACTAATATCGGTACTGTGAATGCCGTCAAAATTGTGCTTTTAATTGTTTTATGAATTGTAGGAGGGCACACTGCGGTAAGATTAAGTTAGTTTGATATGTATTTTAATGCTTTCTACAGCCCCGGTCACAGGCCCTTGAAGTTAACCCTCTCTTCTGACCTACGAGTGTGGGGTAGTCGCTAAAGGCAACTCCATATGACACAAGACAATACTACATGATCACTCATTAAATCTTCTGTCGCGGGTCGATTATCGATAGTTTATTATTTAGTATTGGAACTTTGGTATTATGTCCTCATGAAGAAATCGGGCACACTTGATATATAAATATGGCGCGCTCGTGGTGACTGGCGACATTGGAACTGCACCCTGGTGAGGGGGTCGATCTTGCGCAGACAGCGCAAAGTGCCCGTACGAGATACCGTGCACAGTTTTGCAGAGCTATATCACGATAAACAGTAACACATCGCCATTTCGGGCTACATAATGAAGTGGCCGGCGGAACATCTGTACGAGCGCCGTCTCCTAAAAACTGTGCTTGGACGACGACTATAGGAGGAACTACAAGCTGGGCGCCACGAAAGCTTCCTGAACTGCCTACGTTCGGAGGGAAGCCAGAGGATTGGCCCATATTCTCATGCGCGTTTACGGAAACGACGCAAGCGTATGGTTATCAGGACTTTGATAACAACCAGAGGTTACTGAAGGCGTTAAAGGATGACGCTCTTGGGACGATGAAGTCGTTGTTGATTCACTCCAGCAATGTGAATGCAGTGATGGAGCAGCTGCGTTTCAGATATGGCCGACCGGAGCAACTAATATGCAGCCAGCTTAACAGCATCCGAGATGTGCCCGCAGTTACGGAACACAATTTCGTAAAGCTCGTTGCATTCGCCACGCATGCGAGAAACCTCAAGGCCTTCATGCAGTCGGCGAAGGCAGAGCAGCATCCGGGTTATTCTACCCTCATGGAAGACCTCGTGGCCAAGCTCCCGATCGAATGTGGTCTGCGTGGTGAGCTGCCTCAAAGGTTGCCCAATATGGGGAGGGCTTGGACCTGGACAATATGCAGTTTGGGACTGCCAACGATTCATTGGAGCCACACCTACAGAGAGATTGAAGCTATCCAGAAGACATCGCTTATGTTTTATGTGCCGTCTCAGGAGAGTGCCCCGCGAATGGATGCAGGAGGAATTATCACTGTCTTCTGCATGAAGCAAGCAATGAAGGCTTCAGGGGACCGCCACAGCGAGGCGGCAATTGGAGAAGCTACAACCAGATCCGACAGGCTGTTGGGCCGACGAAAGGCGTCCGAGTGAATGAAGGAACATCGTCATCCGGGCATGCCCCGGCGACGTCAGAAAGGAATTTGAGCTGTGTCAACGAGGACCGAGAACGACTACTGTTTCTTGTATTGCCGGTGACGCTATACGGAGGTGGGAAGCAGGTGGATACGTACGCGCTCCTGGATGAAGGTTCTTCGGTGACGATGGTCGACAACGAGCTGGTAGCAGAGCTAGGAGTTTATATCGTTACAGAGATTCTCAAGCTACAGGCGATTGTTGAGGACTACGGCCTGGGTTCTACGGTTCACGCGTCGATGCCTTGGACAACGAGATGAGCTTGAGAACTATGTCCTCACTGTAGCTGAGTGTGAGGCAGCTAAGAATTTGTTGGTCCTTAAAGCACAACTGGAGGCGTTCCCCGACGACGTTGCTATAGGAAGCGACTTATGTGGACTGGCGCCATACCTAGGTGGCAATGGAGTCCTGCGAGTGTACGGCAGGATCGATGCGGCTGTATATATAACGTACAGCGCCAAGAGGCCAGTGAACCTATCGCACCGGCACAGTCTCACGGAGATGATAGTGCGCGATGCCCAAGTATGGATGAAGCATCAAAACGTGGATGCTACGATGGCGGAGATCCGGACCAGGCTCTGGATTACGAGACCACGGAGAGTGATTCGCAGTGTGATCTCGGGATGCATTGAGTGTAAGCTGCACAGAGCGCGACCGATGCCGCCGATTATGGGACCCCTGCCAGAGGATCGTCTGGAGGCCAGTGGCTGGCCGTTTAAGAGCACGGGTCTCGACTACTTCGAAACACTGCTAGTGACCGTAGCTCGGCACCAGGAGAAGCGGTGGGTGGCCTTGTTTACGTGCTTGAGGACCAGGGCGATTCATTTGTAACTGGCGCACGACCTGTCCATGGCAAAAACTTCGTTGGAGTGGACAGGGAGGCCAAAAGATTTTCGGAGATCTTCGAACCCGAGAGGATCCAGGCGGAACTGTGCCAAGCGAAGCCGACAGAGGGCGGAGTCTAGGAGCAAATGGTGCAGTGCGCAAAGAGGGTGCTGCGTCACACAGTGAAGGAGGTGGCGCCGAAGGAGCACGTCTTGGAGAGTTTCCTAATAGAGGCGGAGAATATTGCTTATTCGCGCCCGCTCACCCTTTTGCCAGATGGGCTCAAGGGAGCAGCTTCCCCGCTGGATACTCCCGGCCTGGATGGAGACCTTGCTAAGGAAGGAGCTACGTGGAAGCAGTGGCGCATAGCAAAGATGTTGCGGAACCGTTTCTGGAAGAGGTGGGTCTTCGAGTACCAGCCCACGCTGACACGGAGAGAGAAGTGATGCCGCAGAGAGAAGCCGATTCGTCGAGGAGACATCGTCTTCGTTTGCAATACAGCCGTGCCGCTTCGAGGCTGGCGGAAGGACGTCGTGGATGGGTCCTTTGCTGGAATGGATGGTGAGGTCAGACGAGCCCGCTGGACAATGTGCCCCGCTTTAAAGTTGGCTTTGGATTTGAGTGAAGGGGTTCTTCATGGAGTTGGGGGGATAGTTTACTATTTAGTATTGGTCCTCATGAAAAGATCGGGCACACTAGATAGATAAATATGGCGCGCTCGTGGTGAATTGGTAGTCAAAAGCCATGGAGTGTGGGAGGTTATACTGCGGTAAGCGATATTTCTTTTAGGGTTCCTCACTAGAACAAAACATACGTACGCACGCTCATACATTTATGAGTTTCTTGGTTGAAATTACAATAGTGGCTTGGGTATTCAAGACGGGTTGCCGTATCGCCGCTGTATTTTATAGGCAACTCCCAACCGAGTGACGACATCTTCATTGTCAAACACAAACATAAATAGAAAACACCCGTTCCCCACTGGATATTGGTTTCATATTTTTGTATGTCGTCACAAGCCAGTATTCTCGGAATTGTGTGTGATGCAGATAACAGAATGAAAACCGCTTTTATACTAAGAAGGGACGAAGACACGGCCACAGTATCTGATGAATGCGATAATGAATGAGAAACGATTTTATTTAACAAACTTAACAGTTTTTACAGGTACAAAATGCTTAAGTTAACAAAAATAGGTATTAAGAAACAATGAAGGTATATTTTGCAAGCGGAGCCAGTTTTTCCGTAGGTTGTGTAGTACAGTGCCATATATGTGTAACAATTTTTATGTATCAGATAGTTTCGTTGGGTCAGCGGATTGCTGACAACTTAGGTTATTATCTTTCTGAATGTCTGAAAACAGAGGTGGTTAAGCGATTTTTGTTTGTTTATCAATGCTGCTACTTCATATATAACCCTATACTTTATAATTTTAAAAATCAAACTACTAATATTTATTTAGTTTTTAAACTTAAGCTTACGTTTTTTAAAACGAATATTAGTTCACCTAGTGTTATGAAGGCATTTCTTCGTGATCGGCCAAGCCGATAGTATTTGTTAACTTATCCAATTTCGTATAGATTCCTTCGCCCCTTGAAGCGCGGTCCTACTAATATCGCTACTGTGAATGCCGCCAGAATTGTGCTTTTAATTGTTTTGTGAATTGTAGGAGGGCATACTGCGGTAAGATTAAGTTAGTTTGAAATGTATTTTAATGCTTTCTACAGCCACGGTCACAGGCCCTTGAAGTTAACCCTCTCTTCTGACCTACGCGTGAGTTATAGTAAAATCCAATGTTGGTTCGGGGTGTTCTCCTGATATTTATCGGAATGTCTTCAGATATTCTTCAAGTCCCGTTTTTAAAAATCTTAGCGGAATTGAAACTTCTCTGTTTGAAGTAAATTCTCAAACTGAAACTTATATTGTTCAGCGGTGTCCGAGAAACCGCCGCTGCCGAATTGTACATAAAAAATCTTACATGCTATACATAAATGCTTATACATAAGTACGAAAATGAAATAAAATGAATGTTTATAAAGAATCCAAATCCAAGTGCTTCTCGTGTCACATTTCCGGGGGTCGGGGCATCCTGTTGCAGAGTCAGCGAAACGTTAGCAGGGCAGCGACCCAAGTGGTCGTTGCCTAGTTTTGGACGATGTTTAGATTGCAACATAATTGCATCCATATGTATTGTCAAGTGGCCACCCAGTCAGCGTACCAATTCCAGGGTAGCTCTGGGTGGCTTGGCCGGCGGCTCGTTACCTACCGACTGGTCGGTAACTCCTCCCCTCCTGGATTGAAGTGACGGCCAAAGCGATGGTGTGGACGTCACGAAACTCGGTTCTGGTACGGTGGAGAATATGACCTTCTTCTTTGTATTGGTGAACAGGACTGTTATCAAGATTCCGATTAATAATAGTAAGTATACCGCTCCAAAGTTTGTAGTTGTAACATTTTTCCAATAAATAATGGAGTTGGAAGCATTGATGGATTTTAGGTTTAAATTGTGTAGGTTGATATCTTCGATGTGGTTGGTGAAGTTTATATTCCGAATAATTGGGAAAGTAACATCTATCTTCTCTTCGTAAACCGCCAATTCTTTGTCGTAGGGAATTTGGTTGATAGATACTTTGCAGTTGTTGAATGTAATTAGCGCAGATCCCTTTATAGGGATTTTAGCCGTACAATATGAAACAATAGTGGAGTTTATTGTATTTAAAATTAGAATGTGTGCCGGTTCTATTCAGTTATTATCTCTTGATTTCCGTCATCTTTGACTCTACAGTTCGCGATATTCAGCGTGAATATGCTATTGAGGCATTCGGTTTCAGGATTGTCCCCGATGGATAACAAATTTTCGCAAATATAATATTTGTCTACCTTATTACATTTGTTTATAAAGTAATATATATCCTTAGCGTTATGGTATGCCATATAATTAGGTAGAACTAAAAATTTATATTCTTTAATAGGCAGAGGAACAATGTGTGAGAATTGATAAGTGTTTTGTTTGAAGGTTGGTATTTTAATTCTAAAGTTGATCTTAATTCCAATCATAAAAGTATGTAATTCTAATATATCGAGAATGTGTTCATTGGACATGTTACCTAGTTCTGCATCGTCTATTTCTTGCCAGATTACATTCAATTCTTGTTCTGATACAATAAAATTGGGTACTAATTTTAGTCTAGCTAATAACATGCTTTCTTCTACATTGTTTAAGTGATTCGATAATACATCGAAGTTTGATAGTGATAGTTTGTGTTCGGAATTTAAGTTTTTAAAAATTGCATTTTTATAGTTGTTTAAGTAGTGATTAATTATTTGCTGTTCCCTATTTATGTGTGTGGTAATGTTATCAAATCTCGCCCTTATGTCGTTATTAAATATTTCTTGTTTATTCGCATTTGTTGTTAACTCTTTTTGATTATCAGTGATCATTTTTAAGTTGTTCTCAATTCTACATCCATCGTGATTGTCTAGGCTTCCAGTAACTATTTTCACAACTTTACCTAGTCCATTTATTAGTCCCCGTCTTGACCTTTTCTTTGGTTTACTACCCTATCTATCTATCTATCCTATCCTTTAGTTGTAGAAGTTTAGTCGATAAGCTATTGATTTCGTCTAAAGAGTCGGTGTTTTCTTTTAATTGACTGATTGCTCGTTCAAAATTAACGACGCCGTCTATAAAGTTTTGTAAATTAATTCGATGTGTGAGATACTTGTGTGATTGTATAATCTTGGCTTGTCCCAGATTTATTTTTAGTAAAGCGGTGTCGGTTCCTAATTTTTGGACCTTTAAGTCCTGGGTTGCGATGCATGCGAATCTGTAAAATCAATAGGAGGTTTGTTTGTTTTAATCCGGTTCTTAATTTTGCTTTGTGTAGTTTTTGTTTTCTAGTGGATATTAGTGTAATCTTGTTGTCCTTCAAAACTTTGTTTTCAGAGAAACGAGGAGTAAGTTTATTCCTCCTGTTCTCTCTTCTGAAAATTATATCGTCTGTATTGAGTGAAGCTGGTTGCGTTCTTTGTTTATTTAATTTGTCAATTCTCTGGTTCATTTTGTCTTCTAACTGAGCTTGGATTTTTGGATATAGTACGTTTTGAAATTCATTCATCATTTTTGAAGATAGTCATGTTCTGAATTATAATCGATCTCCCTATTAAAAATGTGGGTCCTACCAGAGTGTAGTTCGAAAGGTATACATTTGGTAGCAGAATGTATGCTGTTGTTGTAAGTGGTTAGGGTTTCAAATAGAATTTCTTCGTGATCGCGTTCCAGCTTATTAGCCTTCCTGGACTCATAAATAATTCTATAAATTTCGGTTATAGAGAAATGCAATCTTTCCACGGGTGAATTACTTGTATATTGCTGGAATGATGTTACATGAGTAACGATATTATATTGTCTACAAAAGTCAGTAAAAATTTTCCCGGAGAATTCAGCGCCCTGATCGAATACCAATTTTGTAGGAATGCCCACGAAGCAAAAATAATGCCTCAAAGATTTTACCACATTTATACAACTCCTAGTCGGAATTGTATAGGCGCTGGCAAATTTTAAAAATTTATCAATCAAAGTAAGAATTGTTTGACCGTTGATAGTATATATGTCCATATGTACAATCTGTAATGGATCTTCCGGAATTTCTGTTTTTTGATAAACTGGCTTTGGTGGTCTTCTATCATATTTTAATTTTTGACAAATATCGCACTGATTAATTAACTGTATAGTTTTCTGTTTCATGTAAGGGAAGTAGAATGTTCTTTTTAATGATTCAAAGATTCTTCAATCCCCCGATGGTTGTTTTTGAGGTGATAATCCTTGACTATTGACCGTTGTTCCTGTGTAGTAGTGATATCTGTTAAAAATTGTTTGCACCTTATTAAATTGTAATTTTGAAAATATTTAAGGTAAGCTTCCTGTATCAACTCAAAGATAGAATCCGAAGCGAAAATAGCGTGTTATCTGCTGAGCGCTAGGATTTCTCGTAAAACGTCAGTGATTTTTGATATGGTTCGTCTAAACTTGTTCTTGAATAAAATGCAGTTTTTTGTCTTTTCCTCGTTACCCATTTCAATACAATTATAGATTTAGAATTTGACACACTGTTAGATAAAGAATTAGTTATGCAATTAGTCTGTATTTCTACACGACTTAAAGCATCGGCCACGACGTTCTGAGATCCCTTTTTATATACAACTTCGTAGTCGTATTCCAACAATTGTAACTTCCACCTGACCAATTTTGAATTTGGTTCTTTGAAGTTCATCAGTCAGGTTAATGGCTTGTGATCGAGGACAATCTGAAATTTTTGGCCGAAGAGATAAGGCCGGAAGTATTTGGTTGCCCAAATAATCGCTAACATCTTTTTTTCCACTGTTGAATACATTACTTCCCGATCATTAAGTGTCCTGCTAGCGAAACTTACTGGTCTGTCGGATCCCAAAGTCCCTTGAGAAAGAAACGCGCCTATGGCCACTTTGCTGGCATCTGTAGTCAATATAAAAGGTTTGGTAAATTCTGGGTATTTCAATAAATGGTCATTACATATTAGATTTTTGCAAACATTGAAGGCTTCCTTGAATTCATCGGTCAGTAGTACCGGGGCTTTTCCTTTCAATGGCTTGGTCATGGGCTTGGTGATCTTTTCGAAATCTTTTATGAACTTTCTATAATATCCCAACAGACCAAAGAAAGATTTAATTTCCTTCCTTGTGGTCGGAATTGGAAAAGCCTTTATGGCCTCAATCTTTTTGGGGTTCGGTTTGATACCCTCTTCTGTAACTATATGCCCTAAATATTCTATTTCCTTGCGTAAGAATTCGGATTTGTCGGGTTGAATTTTTAAGTTTGCCTGTTTCAATCTGTAAAATACGGACTCCAGATCGCTGATATGTTCTTGTAGGGAAGGTGAGAAGACTATAATGTCGTCTAAATATACTAGACAACAATCTCCGTTGAGGTCTGCCAAAACGTTGTCCATGACTCTTTGGAAAGTCGCTGGAGCATTTTTCAGTCCGAAAGGCATACGGACAAACTCGTAATGCCCTCTCTGTGCCGTAAAAACTGTTTTCGAAATGACCCTTGGCTTCATTTCAATTTGATGATAACCACTATCAAGATCTATGGCAGTAAAGTATTTAGCTCTGCCTATTTTATCAAGAACATCATTAATGTTGGGCATAGGATATCTATCTTTTACCGTCTTTTCTTTTAGCTTTCTGAAATTTTCGACCATTCTCCACTTCTTTATGTTGGATGCGTCCATCTTTTTAGAAACTAGACATACTGGGGCGCTCCAAGGTGAATCACTGTGTTTTATTATGTTTTGATCTATAAATTTGTTTATCTGGTTTTGGATCTCGGCTGCCTCGATGGGGCTGAACCTAAATGGTCTGCAGAATACGGGCTTGTTATCCGTAATTTTGATTTCGTGTTTCACTTTATTTGCGAACGACAATTTGTCGTGAAATACTAAATCGGGGAATTTGTTACAAAGTTGAGACAGTTGTCGTCTTTCTTCGTCATTTAGATGATCTGTTCTAATACTATGAAATCCTGAGGAAATGGGCTCCTGACAGTTCTCAAGGTTATTTGGCATTGCCTCCATAAATGTAAAATCATCCTCTACGAATTTATCTACTTGTAAGCTTGAGTCTAGACAAAATTGTTTAGGTGTAGTAGAAAAATTATTAATTTCGATATGGGCACGGTTATTCTGTGCAGAATATAAACCCGGTGTTATGAAAAAATCCTCTTCCACTTGAATGTGGTCACACAAGAATGGGCCTTCTTTAATGCTTACAGGTACCGTAATCACTGCTTTAGATTCCTCCTCTATCTCATATATTTCCGAAGTTCGATTTGGTTCTAAACTTAGGGGAATTTCGAATGTTGGAGTAGTGAAAGTCAGTTGCGCAATATCAATTATTGCTGGGAGTTGGGTCAAAACGTTCATCCCAATTAATCCGTCGAAAAATTGGTGGAAATTAAATATCAGAAAAGGAAACTCCCTATCATCATTACTTTCCTCAAAGATGGTT